GGCAGGTCTTGTGCTGACGAGGGCCAGTTGAACTGAGCCTTAAAATGTTCTCCCCATCGATCTAGACGGCGTTGCTGAATATAGATAAGTGTGCCGTCGGACTCCTTAATTACCTCACTTACGCCTGCTTTCCTTGGACCTGTACTCCTAATTAATCGGAAAGGATTCCGACTATTACCGATAGCCGCAGCCCTCTCCATCTCTCTACATTTCTCTACTCACCACTTCTCGCGGTCATTTCTCAGGCTATTGATGAGCCGGTGTTTAAGGGATTTGAGCGCTGTCATATGTGGCATCCGGAGGCGGGGTTCTGCGGGCGTCCAGCCAGGCAGCCGAGGTCGACGAGATCCAGCGTATGTATTTTGAACCAACGCCAGGGTCCGACGTTGTTTTAATGATATTTACGTTGCTTTATTGATTTGCTTTCAGTGTTCATTAAGTCCTTTGGCTGGTGGCTGAACTGACAGGCGATTGGAGAGCTCCGTTTCGAAGGCCGATTAGCAGCCATCGCGGATGCTGTATCGTGGGTATCCGCCGTCGGTGACTTTTCTGCCGCTGTCTACCAGGCGTAGGAAGAATTTGGCTCGTAAAAAGGCGTGGTCTGTATCCACACCACCAGTAAGAGCGACAGTCTTGAATTGATCCCCTCCAGCAGTAACTGACGGCGATGTGGTCGATCGGGGTCTAGCGTTGTGAAGAGGTAAGCGGTTCCCATGTAAGACGATGAACTTTTTTGTGTGAGAAGTTTGTGTTTGACAATCCGTGGTTCGCGCAGAGTTGAAGTAGGCGCACTCCGTTGTCCGTCCGGTTGGTTGGCAGTGCACGTAGTCCGCAAAGAAGCCTTTCTGATTCGTTCAGGGATCCCACTTGACGTCCGTTGATCGAACACTTTGGAGTAGTTGAGAAAGATCCTTGATTTCAGGTATACGGCAATCGGTCGGTGCATACACCGATACGACGGAAAATCATCGATGTTCCATTCTGTAGCTGTTGATCCGTGCTAACCCGTTGAGACGTGCAGCGCAAAGTCAGTTACTGACTGGAATCCAGTCAGGAGGCGAGCTCGCCGACTTGGCAGTCAGCGCAATCAAAACACCACGAGCTTCGGATGGTGAATCGCCTGACAAATGAAGGGCGAAGCGTGAGGTCGAGGTCCGATCGGGAGAACGAAGGGAGGTGACTGAAGTAGGGTCTTGTATGCGAATTTCGGAGACACAATATACATCTGAATTGAAATTTTCAATGAGTTCTAGCCAGGGCAGCTTGTTGACCGATCTGATAGTGTTCGGACATTGAACGCGGCCAAGTGAAAATGGAATTTTTGCGTTAAAAATCCTATATCTTCTGATTGTCTGGCCTTGCTGGTAAAACGCTGTGTGATATCCGATGCGCCTTGTAAACAGTAGGCTTTTGGTAATATTCGGTATTGAGAGGAAGAACTAGACAGATGGGAAAGAGGCTTTTCCAATTGGGTGCCTAAGACTTTAAGGCACAACATACCTCGCGGTTGCCCACACCGACGAACGGATTTTTC